CCCAAATATATATATATATATATATATAAAGAGAGATATAAAGAGAGAGAGAGAGGTTCAAGGGAAAACCCCCTAAAAAATGAAAAACTGAAGAATATTTTGGTAACCATTCATCTGAATCGTATGCACATGTGCATACACGTAATTGAAGTTGTTTCTTGGTTTTTATGCACGTGTGCATGTTACATGACATGTGCATACCGGAGAAATTGCTTAAAAATTACTTGTATGCACATGTATACATTGTCCAGATGAGCGATTACCATGATGTTCCTCAGTTTTTCATTTTTTTGCAGTTTTTCCATGAACCTAACCCTATATATATATATATAGTCTCTCTACCCCTTACAGTAGATGAATGGTATGCCTACATCATATCCTCCCCAGACCCTACCTTCGGACAGGGCATGTTTGGTTTGCTTTTAAGTTATATGCAAAAACCTAAAGCATGTAATTCAGTCATTCTTTTAGATGCATAAAGAGATTAGGCAAAAAAAACTCGGGAAGTACGTTTTAAATGTTCTTGGCTGTAAAAGTAATCATCTATAAGAAAAAGACCTAGAAATCTTTTAAAAGCTTCATGCAGAAACACATCCAAAGGCCTAACTACGCACTTCCTTCGCTTTTATATCATAATTTCAACCAAAAAGGTTGTAAAGTAGCTCTATTTCTATTTAAGAAGTGAAGACTAAAAAGGGTATGCAACGTTATGCAGAATGATTACCTCAACAAGATTAGAAATTCTTCTTTCCAAGTTGGATGAAGTCATACTCAGTTCAAGCATTTCAAGTTCAGCTTCCAGCTCTGCTTCGATTTTACTAAAAGAATCATCTTTTGCCTTCTGAATAACGGATTCTTTGTTATGGCTGTTCACTGATTGCTCCCAATAACGCTCATGAGAAACAGAATGAAGTGACCCATCATTGGAAGAACAACCATCCATTCTTTGCAGTTTGTGATCCTCAATTGTAAGCTCTTGCATGATTAATGAATCTTTCATTTCAAGCTCCTCCTCAAGATCTTGAACCAAGCTTTCTGTCTGCTTCAACAAGCCATTCACTTTTTCTACCTCCCGTCTATTTGCCAAGAAGGAAGATATTATGCCAAAAGACATCCCAAGACAGAGAAGTAGCGTTGCATCCAATGATCCTGGTTTACACACTATCACATTAGAATACGAGCAACAGAACTGGACTGATGCCTTATGATCATGACGACAAAACCAAACCAATCAAGCCCAGTAAATCCCACCCAGAGGTGGGGTCTGGGTACGGTGAGACTTATGCAGACCTGACTTCCACTCCAAAGACTAGAACGGCTGTTTCAGTGAAGATCTCCGGCTTGTGCAGAAAAAGAGCATAAGAACAAAAAAGGGAGTGCTAAAATTTGAAAAACTGAGTTGGAAGTAAGCAACAAAATTCAATTGGACAAGCAAACAAAACATACAAATGGAAGTAGATATACAAATATTTTTAATATAGATGGAACACATGCTCAAAAACGTATTGCAGCCTGGATCAGTAATTAGGCATAGAAATCGCTGACAATATGTCATCCAAATCAAGTGAATTTGACACTTCTTTTTTCTATCAAGTCCTGATCAAACTCGATTGAGCTTACAAAACACCAAAGAAAATATTTTTACAGCTAGCAAGTGCAGAACTACATCATTTAAAGGTAACTATCTTAACATCAAGTAAATCATTATGGCATATGCACATGACTTGCTTTAATTTAAAAAAATGATGATGGGCACCTTAGAAAATAACCTACCTCTTGGTAAATTGAAATGTTTCATGATCGCCGTTGTGTTGTTAGTATCAGCTTCATCTTTTCCCATGACCTCCAAAGAACTTATGTTTGGCAGTAAGGGAGCTCCAAAAATTGAGTTATTTTCTTCTGAATATGTTTGCAGCTTCTCTTTCACATAACTATATTGCACAACAAAAGCATCACCACTTGCCCTGTTAATCACTTTGCTGCCATCGGTCACCAAAAATGGCCTCACAGTCTGCGTAGAAGGTGAAGCAAACAAACTGGACATGTATTCTTTCATTTCAACATGTTCTGTGTATAACTGAGCCATAACGCAATTTTCTAACGAGCTTAGAGGTCTAATAGCCCGTCTGCTTCTAAGAACCATTCTACTTCTAGGAGTTGAAGATCTACGTGATAAGTCACCCATTCGTTCACTTACTCTAACCCCTTCAATATCCCCCAATACTCCATCACTGCCAATGAAACCAGGGAATAGGCTTGATGCAGAAAAGACACTACTAAACTCGCAATTGCCTGATATTACCCCCTTTTCACCATCGAACTCACTAGTAGAAGCCATTTCTGGACTAGAAATACCTAGAGAAACCTCACTTCTGACTTCAGAATCATCTTTTCTCAAATTTTCTCTCTTTGCCAACCTGCGGAAGGGCCATTTCTTGTCGGAAGGCGGCTTTGGGGAGTCGGGTTTGACACCAAATGAACCCTCGATCGATGATTCTGATGTTATGTGACCGCCAGCCTGCTTAATCTTTTTAAAATGCTGGGCTATATAGCTAGCACCGGCTGCTACTGCAACCATCCATATATCCATTTCTCACCCTTCCACAGGAGAAACCTACTCTAACCAATCTTCACAACCACAGCACAATGTTCCTTCTTTATTTTAAATATCAAAGCTAAGAAATTAAAGAATGAATATCCCATCAAATCGAAGAGGGTAGAAGCGCCAAAAACACTAAATACCATAGATCCTCTGGAGCATTTATTTAACAACAAAAACGCTCCAAAATAAAGAATTCACTAATTAAAGTCTTCTTCAAGCCCTAATGCTGCTACTTTTGTCAGCAAATCCAAGAATTATACTTCAACCAAGAGCTATCAATTTTTTAAAGATTCAAAAACACTTACCAATGCTGAAGAGAAAGAAAACCCTGAATCCAAGCACAAGAACACAAGATGACTCCACCGATGAACAAAATCCAGATTTTATCTAGAAGAACAGTGGACCCATATCCAGATTGGCCGGCTTCTTGTTGTAAACAATCTTAATCAGACCCCCATTTAATAAAAAAAAATGGAGACGCTTTGAAGTTCCCAATAACGAAAATTAGATATATCGGGTAATCTAACCTCGTATAAATGTCTTGGTGGCCCTTGAATTCTTAATGAACAGAAGAACGAAAGCGACCTAAGAACATCATCAATGAAGGGCCATTGAAAAGTATTCAAGCATTTTACCAAACACTTGGCTGTATGGATGAAGAAGCATCTGTTAGAAAAAGGGGATAAAAGATAACGATCCGAAATTGGGAAAAGGTTTTCAACGAATTATCTTTTTCCAATTTCAGATTAACCGGTTGAAATTGGTAAAAACAAAGAGTTTAGGTTTAGGGCGTGAACCTTGGTGGGTAATTTGGGGATTGTGAAATTAGTTTAGGTCTGATTTAGGTTGTTTGTCAGTTGCTGAATGGTTTGGTGTAAAATAATTAAGGTTTTCATGATATAATGCAAAATAAAATATAATTGTTTGGTAATTGTTTACAATGAAATTGGGGATCTTAATGGTTAAGGGAGGCACATGATACAAAATCATTCAGAGGGTTTTAGAACCATTAAGAGACAAACTTTTTTTTTGCCAAACAAGATTTACCTCTTAACGATTCAGAGGTTGCCTCTTAATGGAACTATTAAGAGGTAAACAAACAACCCCTTAGTTTGTAAGGTGCGTTAGGTTTGTAGATTCTGATGGAACCGAAGTGTTGAATTTTATTGACTAAATTTCATTCTCTCATTTGGTTCATTTTTTCATGAAAAGAATCTTCAAAATCTTACATTTCTTATCAACTACATGGTATTTTGATGAAACGGAATTATCTATCTTCATAATACCAAATACATCTTTAACCCAATATATCATAATCTCATAAAACCCAATATGACCATCGTCGACCACCTCCGACCACTGTCGATCTGAACCACCGTCGACCATCGCCATTTAAACCACCGCCGACTACCACCATTCTGAACTACCGCCGACCACCACCGTTGATCTGAACCATCCCCGGCTACTACCGATTTGAACCACCGTCGGCCGCCGCCAATCTTAACCACTACCGATCTGATCCACCATCGATCTGAACCACCGCCGATCACCGCATCTGAACCACTACCGATCTGAACCACTGTCGACCAATGCCATCTGAACCACCACGGACCACCATCGATCTACACCGCCAACTACTATCGATCTGCATCACCGTCGGCCACTGTCGATCTGAACCACCGCCGACCATCATCGATCTGAACAACCACCAATCTGATCCATCACTGACCTAAGCCACCATTGGCGACTACCACCGATCTGAATCATCGTCGAATACCGTTATCCACCAACGATTTTGAACAACCAGCGATCTAAACCACCGCCGATCTGAATCACTGCTGACCACCTCTATCTGAATCACCACGGACCACCATCGATCTGAACCACTATTGACCACCGCCATCTGAACTACTATGGACCACCACCGATCTGAACCACCATCGACCACCGTCGATTTAGTAACATCGTTTGACTTATGGTTATATTTGGCTTGTTTATTTATATTGTTTTATATATTAAATAATTATTATATTAAAGTATTTTTAGTTTTAAAAAAATTATTTTTAAAAAAAATGACATTTTAATCATTTACCACTATTTCATTCTAATTCCAAAGCTACATTCTGTGAACAAAACAAATAGATTCCAATTCTCCAAAGTCAAATTTTTTTAACATATTCCATTTCATCCCAAAACATTCTGCAAACCAAATGTCACCTAAGATTGAATTGGATTTAGAATATTTATAATTAAATTTCATTCTATGTTTCAAATGATTTCCTGGAATTAAATTCCAAAATCCTATAAATCAAACACACATTTGATTTTTTCTCTCCTTATATCTCCCTTTAATATAACTATCAGTATTTTTTAAAATATTTGATTAACTCTAATATCTTTTAAGATTGTGGTATCCAAATAGAAACCAGAAAAAGATTTCGTACTTTCGTCCAAAACCAATTTGAGAAGGGTGTTCAAAGTTGATGTAATGAAAAATCTTTTAATTAAAAAAGCGGATAAGAGATGGGATATTTTTCAGGTATCTGAATCTGAAAAATAAATAATTTAAACAATAATAATATAAAATATAATAAAATCTTATTATATAATGATTTTTTGTATTTAACATATAGCCTAATTATTGTTGATGGTAATATCTTAAATTATTGCACATTGTAGATTATATTTAAGGAAATATTTTTGTCACATCAAGAACAACACCAATTTTAAAACACTCCAAAAATAAAACATAACATGAATATTTATGGTAACTTATATTTTATTTTATCTATAAAAATGTAGTATTTGATAGAAATTTAGAGAAAAACCATTATATATATATATATATATATATATATATATATTTTGGAGGGAATAAAATAAAAGGAAAAATAAATAAAATTTCTATGTTTTTGAATAGAAGAAAAAGAGGAAAGATATCAAACAAATATATTTGTATTTATGTTATAGCAATGCATCTTATATGTGCTTGGGTATCACACTGAGGTCATCCGTGTGGTCGATCGGAGATGTAACACGATGGTATCACAATGCATCTTATATCTGTTTGGGTATCACACTGTGTCTTTTGTTTAACAGAGTCAATATTTTTAAGTATCATAGTAGTATCACCGGAGGACGGTAGCCGGAGGATGAGGGACGGAGAGAGGAGAGAAAATACTTAAAATGTCATTGCATTAAAATTTTAACTCAAAATTACCAAAATTAAAATTTTCCTAATTTATCTATTGATTTATAATTGAGATTGGATCTCATGGTTACCACAAACTAGTCAATTCTCCCTTGAATTTGCCCATATATATATATATATATATATATA